CTCTCTCTCTCTCTCTCTCTCTCTCTCTCTCTCTCTCTCTCTCTCTCTCTCTCTCTCTCTCTCTCTCTCTCTCTCTTCTCCTCCCTCCCAAGCGGCCGCCCGTGTTGAACACATTGTTCAACAACACGTGTGCACACACACACAGGACGAAAGAAGAGATTCAAGAGAAGGGTCGCTCAGACAGACAGTTTGGTCGTATTTTGACCGGCTCGTCAGAAGGCTGGCTATCTATTCCATTGACCTATATACAGGTCAATAGCCTATATACCGTATTAATTCATTGACCTATAGGCTATAGGCTATAGGCTACTGACCTATACATCTGCCACTTTGTATCGGTCCACTACATGACATGACTTCATTTTGTGTTTGTCTGTTTGTGTGCTTGCACGTGTGGGCAGCAGCGGTCGGGTGCACAAAGAGTGAACTGTCCACACGCACACGGAGCAATGGCACCCTAAATAATACTATATATGTGTAGAAGTCGATCAGATTCTTTCTTTTTTTTTCCCCTTAAGAATCCGACGGGCAGTACTGGCATACAATTTCCTCTTAGTAGCGAGGCCAATCACCATAACGTGTCCACCCTTACAAGTATTCAATAGCCTGCATGGACATTACAGTTCAAGAACAATAGTGAAAACAGTGGCCATAGACTGCTTCTCGTACACGCATCAACAGATTTACATTTCTTCTCCGCATGTACAGTTCTCAAAAAAAACGCGCAATTTCCCCGACGAGTTTCGGCCAGGCTGCGCTCCTGGCACTCCTCAGGGGGCTTCTTCCCAGATCCGCCTTGCGGGACCACCACCAGACTTTCCGACCAAGCAACTGAGAATAAAGGGCCGACGGCCTTGCCAAGGCACACTGAGAGTAAAGCAGCCATAGCCACAGAGAGTAAAGCAGCCATAGCAAGCCAACGGTCCTCATGCTATGGCTGCTAGACTCTCAGGGGCTATGGCCCCTGAGAGGACCCTCATGCTTAAAGCAAGAGGACGCTTGGAGTCCCTTTAGCCGGTTTCGGCCACCAGCAGTACATCCAGCGTATCTGGTCTTTTTTTTGGGTCCTCCAAAGCCAGTATGTCGTGTGAGGAGAGAAAAAAAAGGAAGAAGAAAAGACGGAAGGGATAAAAGAGACTGTCATCGTTATATACACGGATAGACTACACTATCTTTTTTTTTTTTTTTTTTTTCTTTTTTTTTTAATACCAGCGCGGAGTGCCCAAGGCAAAACACATCCACAGTGTCATACTGTAAAATGAAGGACAGTCATACAACAGACTTGCCACATAGAGCAAGCAATCCCCCCTCCTTTTTTTATCCCCTTTCCTTTTTTTTTCTGGGAAGAAAGATGATTATGCGCAATGGACATTCCGCACTCTGAACCTAGGCTACCAGCCGGGCCGCCCGGGTCCCGGGTGGCCAGCCCGTGCAAGGACTAGAGAAGGTCCCAGCAAAAAAAAAAAAAAAAAAAAAACCTCCCAAAAAATTCGAAAAAAAACTATGTTGTGCAGAAAAATAAACTAAACAACTTTTGCCTCAGGGTCGCATCGAAATTCTTTACCAAATTTTAAATAAAAAAATCAAATACAATTTTTATTTTTATTTTTTGGCCCGGCCGGGCAAGTCACACCGGGCCACTCTGGTAGCCTAGCTCTGAACATGATTGATTGATTGATTGATTGATTGATTACGGTTTTCTGACGGGCCACTCACCATTGGCCAACGTGTCGAATGCCGAGCTCAAGCTCGCGGCAGGGGGGGCGTGTGGTTGGTTACCCCCGCTGAAGGAAGCTTATGGCCTTCAAACGGGGGGCGGGAGGGGGAAGGGAGGCCCCATTTATTTTACTCGTCGATCAACGATCAAAGGTGTAATACGTAATTGGCATATTAATGAGACCTTTTACCTTTGGGGGGAGGGAGAGCAGGAGAGTACCTGCCGTGTGGCGGACTGGTACAGAACAGAACATTTAAGTTGACGGAGCTGTCTCTTTTTTTTTCTTTTTTCTTTTTTCAAGGATTGGTCACCACACATTTCACTGTTAGAGCCGGAGACGAACAATCAACCAAGCAATCAATCAACCAATCAATCAACCAATCAATCATCAATCAACCAATCAATCCAATTGGCTGATTGCTTGATTACTTGCTTGCTTGATTGATTGATTGATTGGTTGATTGATTGAGGGGAAAAGAAAAACGCCGCGAGAAAAAAAAAAAAAAACCGTCCCTTCCCCCCGCAACTTCTTCTTTTTCTTTTTTTCTTGCTCAGTCAATCAATCAATCAACCAATCAATCCAATTGGCTGATTGCTTGATTACTTGCTTGCTTGATTGATTGAGGGGAAAAGAAAAACGCCGCAGGAAAAAAAAAAAAAAAACTTCCCTTCCCCCC